TTTTTTTTTTTTAATTTTAAAAATTAAAATTAAAAAGAAACTATACTGTTAATACTTTTTTAAGTTTTAGAAAAAAGTTAATTATTTATTTAGAATGTTTTCTAGAACTTTTATGTAAATTAAGAAACTTATATTCTAGAAAAGATTATAGATTCTAGAAAAAAAATCTAGAAACATTCTAGAATATGTAAAAATGAATGTTTTTCTCTAGAACTTAATTTCTTAATTTTTATAAATTTATCGTTAATTTACATATTTTAATAAAAAAACCAAAATTTTCCTCTAGAATTTTCTAGAAAATATTATAGATTCTAGAAACAATCTAGAAATATTTTAGAATATGTAAAAAAATAACGTTTTTCTCTAGAATTTTTATGTAAATTAAGAAATTTATAATCCAGAAAATATTAGATTCTAGAAAAAAAATCTAGAAATATTCTAGAATACGTAAAAATGAATGATGTTTCTCTAGAATTTTCTAGAAAAAAATTCTTTAGAAAAAATAGAAATATAAATATTCTAGAGAAAAAAAACTCTAACATTTTCTAGAATAATTTGTAATCGACACTTTTGTAGTTAAAACGAATTGTAAATTTCGTAATAATACACAACAATAAATGTCAGTTACGTCACAAAACATCTGTTGTAATTGACATTCTGTGATTGTTTGTTTACATTTCTCTAGAATATTTGTAATTGGCATTTTGTAATCGAAATAAAAAGTCAATTTCGTTCTGTAACCGACATATTTTATAAAAATATTCATATATTTTAGAATAACTCATCTAGAATTTAATTTCGAAGGAATAAGACGATAAAAAGTTTAATTTTATTCATTTTTTTTTGTATAAAATATAGCGTTCGGTTATAAATCTATATTATATTATACTCAATGTCATTAAAAAGATATAAATATTTGTTTTTATCGAGCGATAGAAATAAACGAAAAAAAAATCTTAATTTTACGACATACAAGATGCTGAGGGGTGGACTAAATATTTGTTATATCTGAGTTATAATGGTCAGTCGAATAATTGGTTAAGAGTGAGCAATCCGAGGCATTGTCCTAAGGCTGAGTCATCTTCCTGGAATCTCAGCCTTAAGCATCCTGCAAACGAGTTACAAGAATTTATTTTTATTATATTTTTTTTTTATGCTTTCATGGGCAACAGAACGTTGGTATAGGTAACTTTAAACCCCAATTTTGATTGAGGTTTATTTAAAAATGCAATTTTTCGTTACATAAAGTGGTTGGCGCCGTATTTTGACCTTCTATAAATAAAGTTTTTCTTTATTTTCCTACGACCTTCTTAGACCTTCTACTCTTTCCAAATTGGTGCTGCGGTGGTAAACAGGAGAAAATCTTTTAAAGTTTACTCGCAGGAGGATGGATATTTATTATTTTTTACAATTTGATCACGTTTCCTAGGTCAAAATACGGAGAGGAAATTGTACCGGATGGAGGGGAGGGAAGAATAAATGAGACAAGGAGTCCACCCAAGTTTTGAATTTGTGTTTAGAGAAGAGGTTGATTAGTTTCTCGTCACCCGGGTGTGTATGTAAGCTATGTGTGTTGCGCATTCGGGTGACTCGCGAAGATTGATGGGATACGGTATCATTCGTGACGTTGTTCGCGGATACACCTTCCGACATCGTATCTGGGATGGACCGCAATACCGAATTTATGTTACGCATCCAGAAAATCGAGGGGGGGTTCAGAAAGGAAATTCGTTACTACCCGAGATACCTGGTAGTAACCGTGGATTTAATTGGGGGGAAACCTCCATAAGGGGGTACAGCAGAGTCCTATATACCCCTAAACACACTACAATGTTCACTTTTTCAGATAGATCTTGTATATATTAAGGCTTCATATTTAATTCTCTGAAGGGAATAATGTTGTTTTCTTTTTTACTTGTTTACATATCCCGCATCCTCTTATACTATTAATATTAATATTTATTTATGTTTTATAGCTTCGTATGTGGTATTGAAGTTACTAGAACGAAATTTCTCCTCAAGATCTGCCAGTTTAGAATGTCTGGCACTAAACCCCCATAGAAAAAAAATTATATATATATATATAATTAATATTCTAAGTTATGCAAGGAGCAAAGGCAAATTAGTTATTGCTCCAAAGGCCGTGTTTAAAGTTATATACATAAATATTTAGATTGTGTACAAAACTATTTCTAAAAAAAATTTATGAAATATCCAGTGGTAAGGGGTGATCAGTATGGCGGCTAATGATAAGTTTGGGATGTAGAATTTATATATTATTAAAATAAATATTTAATTTATAGACGAGTAAAGGTACAATTAAATGAATTCGACGTCGATTCATTCATCTTTCGCATTCGATATTATTATTATTTTTGGAGGGGTCACCCCTGAAGGCTTCGAGACGTGTCATGAAATATGAATGACGTCGAATGCTAGATGGGTGGTCGGAATATTTTTTTTTTGGGGGTGAAGAATTCGGCAACTGGTTTGCATAACGTAATATACGGGATACGTACGCCTACGCGGAAGAGAATTCACTCATACTTCACCCCTTTATAGTGAAATATATGATGTCGTACCCCCGTTAAAACGTGGAATGAGCCATGTTTTATTCCATTTCGGATGGTTCCTAACTTGATAAAAGGTTACTTTAAATACTGCCAAGGTCGTCGGGACCGCACGTGGGGGTGTTTTCGTCACCGTCGTAGAGAAAATGGCGGTAAAACATACAGAAATAATACAGTATATTAATATATTCAGGCGAGATAAAGTAATTTTAGAAGCGAGCACGCCCAGCAATTAAGGAAAACACCTTGTAAAAAAAGGGGGTAGAAAGTATCTACTGCTTATTATTATTATTTGCTACAATGAAGGGTAGGTTGATAAATATAAGTATCTATCCTTTAAAGATGGAGTGATTTATGATGCTGACGTGATAATTATAGAAATTGGGGATGCATTAAGACTTAGAATAGCTTTATTTGGGATAGAATAGTTAATTTAATTCTCTCTCCTTTCGAATTTATTAATTAATCTTTAATTGTAATTAGTAAAAAGCAATCTTAAACACGATTAGTTAATGGTTAATTGTCGATAATTTTTCTAAGAAACTTACTTATTTATGTAAGATGTTCGGGGATGCTCCTTTGAGGCCACTAAAAGATATCTGCCATCAAAACTACTGGAATAACAACTTTTACCGGTTCTTCATGTAACTTTTTATGTACTTTACGCCTTTCTTTTCTATCTCTGTCAGCTGTAAGCTAAAAATATTTATCATCCTGCTGACTGTAACACGTGCAAAGTCTTGGATTAACTCCATTTTGAAATTATCTTAGAAGACGGAAGGAGCATTCTTATCTGACTAAATGCAGCCTTTAAGTCTGGAAGAAAGAAAGAAAGAAAAAGGAAAAAAATTAGAAATTTATGTCTAGAATTAAAGAAATTATTGTATGATCGAAAGGTCGTTGCTTCCTCCATTCGCGATCCTATCGAAGCGAAGAAACTGGCTCTATTTTGGGGAGTGTTTATGTGGTTATAAAATACCCCGTTTTAACGAATTCTATTGTGTTTAACCCGTGAAAAGGTGTTCGCATCGTGATTAAAACACGTTTATTATATTAAAGATGCGACCTCTCGGAGCCTGGGGTGGAAAATGTCTACTTTACACTTCAATGACAAACGATGTCTTGCGTAATTCCCAAATAGAAGAAGAAGAATATAAAAAAAAAAGGAATTACTAACGTGTTTTAAACAGAGAAAATATTAATAAAGCACTTTCCTCCTTACATAAATTAAAAGTTTAACCCCATTACTCAGATTTACACTAGTCTCACCCCCCGAAAAAAAAGTATTATTAATGAGCATCTAACACTTTTTTTCCTACCACGTCTGAGGTGATCCTGGTGAAGGAGTTAAAGAGGATGTGGCTAGAGAAAGTCCTTGACACTCCTGGCCCCACTCCAATTCTTACACTTGCTCCATCTTAATCTTTAAATATATGTGACTCGAATACCATATTCTGGTAGATTTTTAACGTCAAATTATACTAGAAAATAAATCTTTATCGTGTAATTACTATTATGGAGATTATTATTATTTTTTTGAAGTGGTGCCAAGGATATACACGATATCCTATAGGTTCTACTTGAAATTTTCTAAGAGAAGTACGATAGTTTCCTCCTAACTTTTACGTAATTTTATGTAATGTATACCTTTAACTCTTGTTTATATTATCGTGTCCAGTTATACTTGATTTTTATCCCTGTATCTAGAAGCGTGTGGGTGTTTATAGAGTTATAAACTTATAAACTATCGAATATTTGGAAGCTCTGTACTTAATTTTATCACTTTTTTTTCAGAAAATTCTATGTAGAAACGTTAAAATGACAGATCCACGTGACTAAAATTCACTTATTTATGATAAATTGTAGGAATATTTAGGTCTATAAACCTTTAAAAAAATAGGTTAAAGTTGATTTCCAGCCCACGTATTTTGTCAGAATTAACAGATAAAGATTGACGTTTAGTAAATTTAAAGGAAAAAAGAAAAAAAAAATACTAATTACAGCTTTTTATGGGTGTAGACACCCGTCTAGTCCATAATTTTATCTAGAAACTAGAGAAAACGATGATCTAGAAGGCTCTAGAACTCGGTTATCGTGGTGTATTGGATAAGTATTTTGACAAGATTTAATATTAAAGTGATAAAGGAACAGGAAGATCCTTGAAGTGGGGATTTGGCAGCATCAATCTTTTTAATGAACACCCCTTTTTTTTGCTGTGTTGATGCTTTTCGTGGAGTAAGAAATTGGCAAAACTGATATATTTATGTGTTAACACGGCTTTTGGGATGTAAAGAGAGTGAAATATATATATGTGTGTGTAAAATTAGCATATTTACATAATTAGACATCACTTCTTACTTCCTAGAAATATTAATTAACGTATCAAGTTGTGAAACGAAAGTATGGAGGCTTTGAAAGCTCGCAATATATGATTAATGCAAAGTCAATGAGAAAGTGTTTATTTCAAGGTCAACCTGTGTATTAAATATTCAGAATTACGAATCTGTTTACTGGGATTGCGTAAAACTTCCAAGATTTCTCATAGGAGGGCCAAACTAGAGACTTTTTTCCCCCCTCCCTTATGAACTACCAGGAGCATCGGTCGCGCGAATTTTCTAGTAGATAACCGCCGCGTACTCTCTAATGACGTCATCAAAGAAGCGACATGTGTCGGGGGGCCAGCGCGCCTGACCCCGTTGACCTTCGTGACCCCGTGTAAAACGAAGCCAGCGACAAAAACTCGCACTTCCCACCGAATGTAGGGTGTTCTCATCGCTCGACCTTGCGACTTTTAAAGAAGGCGCCCGGCTCCTTTTTTTTTTTTTAAAGAACATTTTTGACAATCGTAAATTCACTTCTTCGTTAAGTTCATCGATGACTCGGATGATTGAGATCGTTTCCTCGGGCGCATGCTCCGTATCTCTGTACCAGCGACCACCTGTCGCCCCGAAAACAAGCAGAATTCTATTATCCCGGAGAAAAACTCGCAGGGAGAAAAAAAAATCCCTACATAATAGAAAAATACAATTGTCTTCTCAAGGTCGCGCAGGTGTTGATCTATAAACTTACCTAATATGGTATGGTAAAGAAATTAAGAATGACCAAAAAAAATAAGCATTATTTACTCACTTTCAACGGTTGGAGGAAGCGTTTTTTTTCTTTTTCCTTCTTCTTGCTCCACGATAAAAACACTGAATAGGTAATTGGAATAATGTCAAAATTCGACCTCTCATGCCCTCGGCCATTTTCCTTCACGTGTTATCTAAAATTAGAATATTTTTGGCCAAACGAATCACGTCTTATATGTAAATCATTCAAACATAAAAGTCGTAAAATCCCCAACTCATTCTTAAGATATAAGATTCCACCACCCTCCTCCCTCCTGTTACGTCTCAATTCTCTTAAAATTTCGTCTCACGTTATGTTAAATCTATCCATAATTAAGTTTACTAACTTCATAAGGGGTGTGCTACTACATACTAAACATATTTAAGAACACAGGAACAATTTTTTTCTGAAGTCCCTCCATATTGCAATCTCGGTGTTATGGCACTTCCAGTTGTAAAAACTCGATTCTCACAGCTAAAATTTCAAATTAATATACCCCTAAAGTATCACTTTCCCTTATATATTTTTTTAAATTAAAATATAAACCTCATAAGCAGCAATTTCTCATACCGGTCCCACCTGTTACATCACCCTGTTTGTTAAGTGATCTCCCTGTTTCTTCCGAATTTACTGTCAAACTATATTATGGGAATTGGATATAACACATGTTGCAGTGTCGGGGGGAGGGTGAGCATAGAAAAAAAGTACACGACCCACCCACCTTTTATTAATTTCATTGATTAATCGAAGAACGTGTGGAGTGGGGGGGTAGGAACTGTGTCGGCATATTTCGCTTCCTGCACATCTTCTGATCGATTTTTAGTGAAGATAATTGATAGTATGTGTATCAGTGAGTTAACAGTAATTTAATATGGAAGAAAGTATATGCGCAATGATATAGATAGATGCAACACGGTCATGCAGAAGCGAATAGCAAAGTAGTACGTGCTATCCTCACTCGTTGGGTAGAACAGACGTCCTTCAGTAACTAACTATCCAGCCAGGCTTCAACATGAGCTACTACCAGGGCGATGCTGTACCTTAGATGTAACCTATGTGCTAAATATGGCATACGTAAATAAACTCCTCCAACTATTCTTCACTTTATTAGTATTGGGTTCGGTGCATTGTAGCAACAGTAAGCAATTCTTAGAGAGTTTACTCAGGCAAAACAATAATAATTTAGTGTTGACCGTGTCTACAAACAATACTACAAAGGTGAGTCAAATGTTATAATAATTTATAAGTAAATTTAACGCAATTTTAGTGTTTATTAAACAGGTAAAAACTCGCGTGTTTAATTAACACGAGAGAAAGTTCGTGCTAACATATTGAAGGGTCATTCGAGGGTTTTTCCATTTTTCAAGCTCGTCATCGACTGACTTAAGTGAGGAAAGTGGGACAGAGCGAGACATTTCCAGTCTGGCAGAGACAGCATGACTCTTCTAAGGATAATCTGCCAATTTGCCAACCCCTCCTAACATGGCAACACTTTCGAGTGTCAAGGGTGATTACTTCATAAATGATATTTTATTCGCGTCGATTTATATCCATGCATGCGAAATTTTATTTAAATTAGAAAAAAAAAAGAAAACATTGCTCTATCTTAAGAGCGAAAGATATTTTAATTCTAATTAAATAATAATAATAATAATAATTAATTTAATGGTCATCTTAGACGATAAACATCTATGACCTTCGAACGACCTTCGAATATTTTTTTTTTATTTTTTGGAGTAGGAACATGAGCATAATACATGAATTTTTAAGAACGAAACACATGGATAAATGTCGAGTTTAATTATTGATATATAAATAAAATATTCACACCGGAATATTTTAACTAATTAGTGTGTTGACCTAAATAATTTTCGTATAGGAAAACAAGAATTTCGCTAATCCTTCCTCTTGTTATCTATTTTTTTTTTTTTCCTTTTTTTTGAGCCACATTTTTTAACTTGTACTTTCCTCCTGTTTAATTAAACATCTGTATTAAACAATCTATCGTATCCAGAAAGAAATTCTGTACTTTCCTACGTAGGAAAGTGTTTTTTAATCCTAAAAACAAAAGCTGATAAAGCTTACATAACAGCTTTCTGGTGGTGAGATAGCCCTGTGTATTATCTAAGAAGAACGACACAGGAACACGTGATAAGATTAGGAAAAAACTGGTGTCTACAGCGGATATCCCGATTTAAAAATATAAAAGTTAAAGAAAAACAAAACAAAAAAAAAAACAAACCCACATCATTCTAAAAATGAAAAGTAATAAATATTATATTTTTTCCATCAAGTTATTTGCTTAGGGTCTCGTTGCCCTCACTCCGAGTGTCATTTATACCTGTCTACATACCTGGAAGCAATCAATACCAAGGTAAACGAATTTAAAACAGGTGTGTGGGTGTTTACTAGCGTTTACTCCACCCCAGGACCGGTTAAAATTAAAAAAAAAAAAAAAGATGGTCCCCGGGGATAGTCGAGTGTACTTGAGACCAATCTCCTGACTATTCTATTAAACAGGCATCTTCAGCATCATCTTAAACTATGGAGGACGATTTAGATAAGAATTTCTTTTAGTATAAACATGGATAGATTTATTTTGTTCTCGAAAAAATTTTTCGTGATATTTGCATTTATTTATTCGGCGAAATCCAGTATTATTGTAACACGTCACACTACACGACGTTGACAAAAATAGTCTGGCGTGTATGTGTATGTTTTGGTCTGGTGTATTGATGGACGTAAGACAACACGACTGTACTGTACCTTGAGTGTATGATGTTGATATTTCTTATCATAAATCGAAGACAGAGCCATAAAGTACTTCTCAAGACGCGTGCCTTGTATCTAATCTTAGTTTGACTTCTTCAAGAACACCGATAGCTCTTCCTGCGCTGTTTCTCGTCACTGTCTACGAGGGACAAACCATTTTCTGGGGAAATTTCTTTAAAAATTCTTATCCGGAAAGTATCATTAACTTAAAACAGGGAATGAAGACCTTTTACAACTGAATAAAAAACATTTTTTTTTGAAGTTTCGTATATCGCAGCTGTCAAAACAGAGTCTAGGTTAACCAAACACCCGTTAATGTTTTTATAATTTAACCAGAAACATTTAGAAGATCAAAAAAATAAAAAATTCAAACGAAAATTTATAAATGATTAACGGGGGCACGAACATTAAAAAAAAAAAGCACGAGAGATCATTCTGAAGAAATGAGTCATAAGGAGAATCTCATTATAATGACCTCGTATTACACGGGAAAATCGCCTTGTGACGTCGTGCCAGAGTATCAATTTATATTCTCACAGTTTCAATTGATTTAACACATTAATTCTTTCGATTTTTTCCTCCCTCCTAACCTCTAAATCGGTGCGAAATTTCATGCTTTCTATCTAAGAGAAAAACGTCACACTACAGTACTACCTCTCTCACGTGCGGTCAAATAGAAGCTCCTTTATTGGTATCAAAAGTAAACAACCACCGCCATAAGTGTGGAAGTTGGTGTGTTTTTCTCGGTTATATATATATAAAAGTCAACGTTTACGTGACCTTTGACATTTCTTCTAAGAGGGGTTGAAATATACTAAACTCTCTCCGAGTAACTTGATGGATTGGTATTATCCTAATAAATGTCAACATCGTGACGTCACCAGACGGAACTGCGGTCGACAAAGAGGGCTTTGACGCCGTTTAGTGTATTGTAGACACGATAAATTCATATTATTTTTGCTTAAAATTTACGAACCGGCCTTAAAAAACGTCGCAAATCTTTGGTAACTTACGAATGACAAAGCTACACCGCGGATTATCTTACGTGTTTAATGAAGGGTAACGTGTAAAGTATCTGTTTTCTCTTATTTTATATTCATGATAAGACTTTTTTCCCCTTTTTTGCGCGTGTTTTCTTTATTTAAAGCTGATTTTTATAGTAATTATGTAAGGTTTTAGGTCCAGATGTCCGGGATCATTTCCGGGTGTTTTAAAAACGTAACCTTGTTCGACCCTCCCTTCTAACACCGTATAAAAAAATTATAATAAATCTAAATGATCCACTTATTTGTGGCAAATATACCGCCGCCATACTATAATTTCGGATTTATGAATCGAGAGAGGATCAAGGACGAGTGCTACATTAAATAAAATATCCGTTTGTCATCGGTTTGAAACTAATTTATTGAATGGACTACGTCGTAAATGACGTCAAAATAGTAATGGGATATCCATAAAATTTGTCTTAAATTTATTTACTACAAAATAACGAAGCGATATTTTATAAAATTAAGTTTTTTAAACGTTACGGTATGTCTACGACACTATTCTGATAATTTTTCAAATAAATTAAGCTTATTGGTTGATAAAACAATAAGTAACCAATCAGAAACCGATTATAATCGAGTTGTTTGTAACTGACCAATAAGCAGAGAGCGCGGAAAACATTGACCAATTATTTCAAATTGAGTAATTTATAATTAACCAATAAGCGACGAGCGCGAAAGTATTAATCAAGTATTTTAAATTGCATCATTAATAATTAACCAATAAGAGATGGGTGCGAAACTATTAACCAATTACTTCAAAATTCGTCATTTATACTTAACCAATAAGCTACGAGCGCGAAAAACCAGCCAGTTATTTTAAATTACTTAATTTATAATTAACCAATAAGAGGAGAGCGCGAAAAAATTAACCAATTATTTTAAATTGCGTCATTTATAATCAACCAATAACAGTAGGTAATTTTTAAAAATTTAAATAGATAAAGTTTATTGGTTTTTTTAAAAAAAATGCGAGTGATCTAAGGGAGAAAACGGTCTAAATTAATTTAAAAATTTTAATTATCGAATATTAATTAAATTATTTCAAATTTTAGGATGTAAATACATCATCTTCGATGCCGTCATTATCAGCACACGATACGAATCAGAGTAGCAGTTATCGAGAATTTTACAGACTGTTTTATGGGCTACAACAGACAGAAGAAGAAAATGATTTTCAGGAAAATGATTTAAGTAGGGCCAAAAAACCGAAGAGGATCAAAAACGGAAAAGGTATTTTTGTAATTTTCTATAGGAAAAAATAGGGAAGGGGGGAAAAACAGAAGTGAATGAAATTCAAACACTTATAGAGCAGAGAGGGAGAGGATATAACCCTTATCCTGTATATAGTACGCATGTTCAGTTCACTTCTTTGTGACGTAGGCGAATGATATTCAATTAAGAAAATTTTAGGAAACATCCTGTTACCTATTGAAAGTCGTGCTTGACCCGATTTTATCTTTATAACTCCAATTATCACACTGGAATACTCGATACTCTGTGTGTGTGTTTTTTTTTCTGTGTTTTATAGATCAGTCTGCACACTCTCTTAATGAGTAACGGTTGGTGTTTTCGAATGAATTATTCAGGAGAAAGAAAAACTTTATCTGTGTTTTATTTTATGGTCCAACTTATCTGTTACTTTAATAAGTAAAAACGAGTGAATTATATGGTGTAGTGTGTATCAAATTTTGTTACACGATATGAAAGATTGTCATTGGCATTTGTCCAAACACATCAAACACGTGCACTTTATCGAATATGAAAATATATTTAATCAAATACATCTGAAAATTCAAACAGTGGACGACCTCTATACAGCGACCAGAAAATTTATTAAGTAAAAACTTCCATACTATGGCTCACCTCCGAACAGCGGTCACTTTTAATCTTCCCATCATTGACCGTTGTTCAGAAGATTTTTTTGACTGTATTATCATTTATATAGAAATTGCAAGATTTTTAATAAATAAATTTATTAATATAATTAAAAATTTGAACATTTATAATATATTTTTATTTAAAATTAATCGCCATTTAAATTTATAAAACTGGGAAGACTTTAAAGTGAATTTATCTACATGTGTGGTCTTCGGTTATACTATTGAGATGCAAATCCAATAAATCTGCGGTTTTCGCAACGCTGATTGGCTAGATTAATTTGATTGACTGACAGATTGTCCAATAATCGATCAATATCTAGTAAAAGCCTCGCCACTAACAAATCGGATTAAAGAAAATCGATAAAACTTTAGATTCTTATCTTCCATTTCCATTTAACGCTACCATATTTGTTTTTTACGTCATCGTCCGTGTATTTATTGTAGTGTTTAACGATTCGCTTTTATACTAGAGATGTTTTAATTGTATTTTTATCTGCTAGATCTGGAAGACATAAGACAAGCCAATTTACATTATCTAAAAATCAGAGACGTGGCCCGATGCAGAACACCAGGAAGTCGAGTGATCAGGGTTAAAGATTATTATCCGGATCCATCAAAGGAATACTTACCCAGGTGTACTGTAGTGTACAGATGCGGGGATGATAGCGGTTGCTGTGACAACGATGCCTTTCAATGCGTACCGAGGTTCGTTCAGGAGGTGGCACTGCCTTTTTACGTGAGTACAATTCAATTTTTTATACGGGGATGACATTTTCGTCTACACTTTCAATTTTTAAATTGGGCGAATTTCCTGCCCAAACCTATCATTTCTTTCCTTGTAAAAATATATATCAATTGAAGGAAACAATAATTTCTTCCTTTAACACTATGCCCAGTTTAAATAACAGGCAATTTAAAGTGATGTTACCCCCCTTTAACAAGTCATAAAATAAAGAATTCAGACCGAAGACAATAGATATATACTTCTCGTGTTCTCTTACGTCTTCTCCATTAATCCATATTTTTTTTAATACGTATTGTAACACAAGAAATTTTGTTTTATTAAAAATACATTTAAAAAAAAACAACCTGTAAACAACGGCCAGTTATTCGGGAATATTTTTTAAACAAAAAATTTGTAGGCGATGACTTTCTTTACCTTCGAATGACGTCCATTTTTAGTGTTCCCGTCGGTGTCCGTTGTTCGGAGGTTTCTCTGTATTATCATTAAGGATATTTTAATAAATAAACTTTTAAAAAATATGTTTTTATAATATCATTTATTCTTTATTTAATTAATTAAAAATAAATTAGTAATGTCTAAAATACGTTTAAGTAATTTAATCCGTTTTAATTTATAACATATGGTGGCATCACACAGATCATATCTGAGAAAACTGTGATAGAAGGACAGATAAAAATTCCACAGAATGGATACTGTGACTATATATTACTCATAATATATTTTATAATCTGATTTTTTTTCCCGTATCAAAGCTTAGACAATGATCAATTTTAATGGTTACATCGACCATTTATCTGGTCAAGTTATAATTTGTCAATAGAGACATTAAAGTTATAATACGTAATTTGACCTTGTGTCTTTAACTAGAAAAAAAAGGGAGGACTCATTAAACTATAATTATTGGTGATTAATTGCACTCGTTAACTAGAAAGTTACATTTATGATGGGTTTTTCAATAAGGCGATGCGCTTTTTTAGCTTAATTTTGTGCAATTTAACGCTTGAAGAATTAAATTTAGATAGAAAATTAGTTCTAGAACTTAATAAATGTACAAAATTATAGAGAAATAAGACTATAGTTCACACTTGATGGCTACATTTGTGATAAGTTTTCAATAGGGCAATGAGCTTTTTTAGTTTAATTTTCTGTAGCTTAACGTTTATAGAATTAAATATATCTAGAAAATTAGTTCTAGAACTTAAGAAACATGCAAATTCTAGAGAAATAAAACAATAATTCACTTCTCTCTTTCCTTGAACTCCTTTATATATATATTTTCCCTACAATTAACACCGATTTTAACATAACAATAATAAAACAAAGGAAAGGGTATTATGAAAATTACATTGACCCATTTTTTTAAAAAAAAATGTAATTTTTATTTATTTATTTATTTATTTTATTGTAGACTTTGCACGTGGGAAAACAAGGTTTAAAAATTGGTAACACGATCGAAAAACTATTATTTATTAATCACACTCAGTGCGAGTGTCAGCCAGTTAATGATCAACCACGAACAGAAGAGGGGGTGTCGAGTGATGCTAAGGCTAAAGTACATCGTAACAGGTAAGATAATACATTCCTGTGTGTTTATTTGTTACTTTTAAGCAGGTTACAGTCTTATTTACATGAAAAAATTACGTGTAGTATTGTAAGGAGGGGGGTGAGTTTCACACTAGTCTCAGGCCTCTTAAAAGTTGAATCGTTGATATATTACGTTACTTATCATACACTGTATACGTGTGTGACGTCGGTGAGGCCATCATATACGATACGCCGCCCGGCCACACCTCCGTATCAAGGTGACAAGTTGTTCCAGAATGGTCCACCTGGGCAACCACACCCGAATTAATCGTTTTTCCCCCAATAAAGATGCCTAAAACAGTGTCTAGAACTTCAGAAAATGCTGCTGACTCATCCGAAACTTTCAGAAATTGCCCCTAAATCCCGTATCATCGGTCGTTGTTCTGTGACGTAATGGCTTCCTCATTCTTTTCTATCACAAAAGGAGTACAGGTCGATAGTGATTCAGCACATCATCTATTTCTATAAAGTCTATGGCCCGTCACTTTCTTAATCTTTCTCGAGAGCAAAGAACTTTTTCTTTTTTTTTCCCCCCTCCCTCTCTTCTTCCCGTTTCGAATTCTCAACGACAGATGGCACCACAGTACCGGGGTGGAAATTAAATTTAATTTTACGTATAAAATAGTAATCGCTAGAGAAAATTTATTTTAAATTGTTAAAATTATTATAAAATTATTTAAAATTTTTTAATGTTAGAAAATGCTTTATTCGGTTATAATAACGATGACTTAATTAAGTGCGGCGTATACGCTAATGACGATTTGTCATCCGTTAATGATAATGCATCCCTGATATGTGAGCTTATAATTGATGATTGTATAATTTATGTTAAGATTAACGCGTATAGCTCCGAAAATCTTCCGCAGCATTAAACTCTATAGAGAAAACTGAAATTTATATAAAGCGTTGGTGGAAAGTAACTAGGCATTGAGAAATCGCTATAATTTCTATATTTTTCATGTAAATTTTCTGAATTTTATTAAATACTGTACCTTATTAAGTGGAAACATGATTATATACCTTAAAATTTATTGTAGTTGTCGGCACCATCCACAAAACTTCCTCAAACGAATGTGGCTCGTGATGTGGATGGATGGCCACTTCTGAGCGTGTAAACAACATCGTGGTCATTAACTTTGAATGACAATTTTTGATTGTTTCAGGATGGATTTGGCATAACCTCCCTTAACTTTATGCCACCATCTCCTCGCAGTAACTACTAATTTCCACCCCTCATAGCGTGCTCCCGAACAGACAAGTAGACATTTTTTTTTTCCATTGCATGTGAAACTTCTGTCTTTCACTACTCACACCATCGATAAAGGAATTATAAAACGCATTGATTGTTCTACATGAAAACATAAATTTTATTACGATTGCATTATTATTAGAAAAATCGTAGAGATTTATTAATGCCTAGTTACTTTCCATCCATCTTGTATATTTCTAAGAATATTCGAGTTTCATTCATGAAAAAAAAAAAGAGAAAGAGAGAGAGATAAAGCACTTCATCCTCGACGACAGAACTAATACTTTGATGGAGATAAATTACAATCTGGATAAGAAATACAGCGGTTTGGACGAGTTCCAAAATATCAAACTGAATTGCGGACCGGACAATTAGTTTTTGATGTACACGTCGACATGATAAAGGGAAAGATGCTCATCTCAATTTTTTTTCATCCGCATCTCCTCATCCCCAGCATCCGGATGCTTCTGCAATTTTCTCTTTAAGAAGAGTGGGGAAAAAGAGTTAAAAATCACTCGACTCCATTATTATTTTATGTTTATTTTACTTACTCGTTAAACATAAGCAGATGGGATGCAGCAAACTATTCTAAAATTATTTATTTTTCTAGCATCCCCCTCGAAAAATCACGTAAGGATCCGTATGTATTTTTATATCGATTCCACAGATTTATTATGCGGCTCTTGGTCGCTGCTGCTGCTTTTAAAAAATTCATTAATCTAATGAGAATTTTTACAGAGACAGAGAGAGAGAGAGACAGACACACAGGACTCACGACGTTATTCTCTTCTCGAATAATACATGGGAATTGAGTTAAGTGTTATATAGAAATAAGGCTTCGTACGAGGTGTTATAGGGTTTCGTATTTATCTATAATCTTGTTATTTTATTATTAAAAATAATGAATAAGAAGACGAAGCGTGATAATCCTTTGTATCTTTCAAAATAAGTGATAACATCTTTAAGGTTTATTCTTTCCCTTATTAAGCTTGTTTGAGTTTAATGAGGGAGAGGTTATCGGGAATTTCCCCCGATTCAGAGCTGTGGGGGGAGCTAAAATGTCTCTTTTATACGTTTAAGCTTAATAAGGGGGGGTCAGAACTCATCTCACCTTTCTTTTAAGTGTACATTCTTTATTTTCCAGTTAAAATATTTAAAAAAAGTGTATTTTTTTTTTTTTAATTGTTCTTACATTACTTGACAGCTGTCGCGAGTGTCCAATTCCTTTCCATCGTCGAGAATACCCAGATGGGAGATGCACGTGCGATTGTTTCGATCGCCAAAGACCCTGTTTAAGGATCAAAAGGGGAAGAGATCCTTTAGCAGAAGTGGAGAGAAGGTAATTACGTCATTTGGAGGAGGAGCGCTTTATATAAGAAACTTAATATTAATAATCCCCTAATTAACGTCTTTACAGGTGCGTAGAAACTGGTTACTGTCACATCCCCGACTGCGAGTATGGAGAGTATGACATCACGACCGGGTTGTGTCCTAAGAGAGACAACGAAGGACACAAGAAATTAGGCACCAAGAGTTTTTCGTCCAATCACAGATGGTCTTACTTGGAACGTGATTAAAGAAACCGCCGCCGGGTTACGACTAGTCTTTTTCCAAACCCCTGGAGGGTGGACCCACCATCACTGCCAAAAAAAACAAAAGACAAAAAAATAAATAAATAAAAGTGAGCGTGAACTCCGAGTGTAGGGCGGGACCAAGCGCCACAAATGACCTATAAATTTGGAAGGGTGAACCTGGTGTCACTCATAATTAAACGCGTTTAGACTCATATATATATATATACATATATACATAATTATAGTTTCTTTAATTACAATTAAGTTTATTATCATTTTATGTGCTCAATGATGACGTTCTCTACGGGATGTAAATTGTATTATATAATTATAAAGAGCAGTATTAAGCGTGAATGTAGTTTTTCTTCACTTCTTAAGGCTCTAATTACAATTATTTTCTGTAAATATACCTTTAATTTCAATTAAACATTTAATTAATTAATCAAAAACGTTGTTAAACTCGACCGTCTTCTTAGCTTGTGTTTATTTATCATCGTTTACTAAATTAAGTTCGATAATTAATTATGTTTTTGGTTTATAAAATGACTAATTTACTTGTTAATTATATTTAAAAAAACAAGTGAAACGCAATTAACACGAATTGATAGCTTTGATGATGATGATGATGATGATGATGATGAAGATTCTTTGCTGATTTATTTATAAAAAAAATTTTAAAAAAAACAAAGCGAGTGATGAAATAAAGGAGAAAACAACAATTCAAGTCTATTTTCTCTATTGTTTTCTATATAAAAACATTATATTTACTTTCACATAACAGAGGGAAAGGGTGGAAATCGATCACCCCTAAGATTTTGGGGGTGATTTAACCTTGAAAAGTCGAGAAATGCAAAAATACTTGGGGGGGGTTTCTTCTGTATATACGAATTTTCAGTGTGTTATGTATTGTATGTGTGTGTGTGTGAGGGGGGGTGATCCACTTTGAAGCTCAATAACTCCTGTTTATTCTGTCGAAAGTTTCTGAATTTTTGCAAGGAGATTAATGGGCTTAAGTCACTTACTCTTTTAAATTTTGGTGGTTAAAGGTTAAGGGGATGGTGAGATATATTTATAGAAAATTTTACTTGTATTACTAGCAATTTCCTATAAAAATATACAAGAATATTCAATTTACAAGTGAATATTCGATACGGAAACGTAGCGTGTTTATCCTAATTTCCATAGACTTTATATTCAGCGACAGACGGAACGTACGAACGAATTAATTATATAAATTAGATAAAGCACTTCATCCTCGACGACAGAACTAATACTTTGATGGAGATAAATTACAATCTGGATAAGAAATACAGCGGTTTGGACGAGTTCCAAAATATCANCAAAATACGTCTTGAAACTCCCTCTAAATATTAATTAATTGGTAAATTATGTATAAAATTAATTAATTATAAATAAATAAATGAAATTTTACGTATTAAATAACATAAAAATCCAATAACGCCGGCGCGTGTTGTTATTATTGATTCTATCGATTTAAACTATTTTTCCACTAGATCCTGTGTAAACTTACTTTTAATCGTACTTTACACTCGATACAGGGATTTTTTTTTAGGGAATTTTATCGCAGTTCCACCCTACAAACTACATCCGCCCCCTTTTCCATGTTTAATCAATGGAGGAAGTGCTAATAAGCTATCTACCCCCCCCCCCTTAGATTTCTTTTTTCGTACTTTTCTACAGTGTTGCCAAGCCATTTTGTGAATTTACAGTTTAACCAGGCGATAAACCTGCTTAAGACGGACACGACGTTTTCAGTTTGAAGCCAGATAAGCCAGAATTTCGGTGGTAAAGAAGAGGGGGTGAGGCTACTTCCATACTACTCTTTGTTACAGTTATACGGTGGGGAGGAAGTTTAGAAATTTCGCTTGAATAACCCCTTCAGTTACTCGTTGGGGGTGTTATTTACTTGGCTGTGTATAGTTTCTGTACGTAATTATAGAGTTATTGGTATAAGAAAACGTGGCAATATGGCGAGGATGGTGTGTGTATACCTACTTCCTTTAGCTCACTTCCGCAAAGAGGTTGTGTTATAGAGGAAGCAGGGCGCGTGCGCAATATCGACCGATCATCTGCGACAAGAGAGAAGTGCTGTCGAGTGTTCTTTGGATTTGTCTATGCAGTGATAATTTGCTTCTCTTCTGCAAAGCCTCGCTCTTACTGATTGGGTAAGCACAGTTACTGATTTCATTGGTACCTAATACTTAACCCCCTAATTTTTCGGTAGGGCCAAATACTCACACCCCCTCCCGAAACCCCCCAGTTTTATAATAACCTCGATTATTCAGTTTTGTATACTGCCAAGTTATGTTTGTATTATCCAATCAATTCTTTTGATAGTTTGCTTACAAGTAACGTAAACTATAACCTTGGAGAGGGGTCGGGGTTTTTGTCTGTCTTCTCCCATTCTGATTCGATTTTCGGTCCTAAGGGTGTGATTCTCTATTGGTAAAACCTTACTCGTCCGTATAAAACAGGTTACGTAACTAAATCTGTTTATTTTTCATTAAAAAAAATACATTAAATCGAGGGTTATTTCTGCTGTTAAAAGGTGACTCGTGACTAGTGTAATTTCAAATACCGACTTTAACATAAACTGTAATCTTCAGGGGTGTTTTTCCCTTCATTTTAATTCGATTTTCGTAGCGTATTTTCACTAAATACTTCAATTGTCCGTGTAGACAGGTTACCGAGCTAAATTTATTTATTTTTTATTTAAAAAAAACCGTTAAATCGAAGTATTTTTCTCCAACTTTCTGCTGTTTAAACAGGGACTCGTGGCAAGTGAAATTTCACGTGAAACCCAGTAATTTTTATTGAAAAATCTCGAAATTTCATTAAAATAAATGGAAATTAAGTCATAAATTTCGTATAAATTTAAAATTCATAAATCTATAAAGAATATTTTAATGAGTTTATTAAGGATTAATCTCATTATTTTGATTTTTAATTTAAAAAAGAAAAGAGAGAGAGAGAGGAAAAAAAAATTCATTTATCAAATATTTAATTCTTAAAATTAACCAAAGAAAAATTGTTTTACATTTATTTTCTTTTAATTTAATATATAAAAATTGATTTAATTTTTCTCTTTTTATAGAGAATTTCGTAATAAATTACAGTCGAACCTTTATTAACGGCCACCTCTAAATGGCGGCCAGTTTGTTGTTTCAGAGTTGCGTGTAAAATAACCTTTAAACAAGGCCACATTTTTTAGAAATTCGTATTGAAATGTATATAAAAAAAACCTCCAAATCACGGCACCTTTCAACTACGACCACTTTTTTTTTTCTTAAGAAAGTTCAACCAAAATGCATATAGAATAACCTTTAATCAACGACCCACATTCAAATAATGGCTATATTTTTTAAAGTTGAACAGAAAGGCATATAAAATAACCTCTACATAACGGCCACATTTAAATAACGAAGCATTTTCAGGAAATTTTAAATAGAAATGCATGTAAAATAGCCTTTAAACAACGGCCACTTTTAAATAATAGCCACGTTTTTTAAGAACGTTGAACAGAAATACATACAAAACACCTTTATACAACGACTACCTTCCTATAACGACCATATTTTCAGAAATATTGAACAGAAATGCATAAAAAACACCTTTAAACAACGACTACCTTCCTATAACGACCATATTTTCAGAAATATTGAACAGAAATGCATAAAAAACACCTTTAAACAACGACTACCTTCCTATAACGACCATATTTTCAGCAACATTGAACGGAAATGCATACAAAACACCTTTAAACAACGACTACCTTCCTATAACGACCATATTTTCAGAAACATTGAACAGAAATGCATAAAAAACACCTTTAAACAACGATCACCTTCCTATAACGACCATATTTTCAGGAACATTGAACGGAAATGCATACAAAACACCTTTAAACAACGACCACCTTCCTATAACGGCCATATTTTCAGAAACATTGAACAGAAATGCATACAAAACAACCTTTAAACAACGACCATCTTCCTATGTTTATCCTAATTTCCATA